AAAAGTACCTTTTATTTCTTTTTAAATTGGCTTAAAAAAATGGAAAAGACTAAAATATGTCATCAAACTTTGAGAAAATGCTCATCTCTGTCATCCGTTAAAATTTTGGCTCATATATGTCATTTTCGTCTGAGAAATAGCTCAAATGAACGGCATAGATGAGCCTTTTTCTCAAAATTTGATGGCATATTTAGGCTTTTTTCCTATTTAATATATCAAAAAATCATCTTTCTTCTTAATTCTATTTTTTTTACAAAGAAAATAATTTGCTAATATAATTTAATCAATAAAATTTAATTAGTTGAGTGTATATTTCAAAATCAAAGACATTGATAAAAAGACAAAAAATAAATATACTTTGAATTTAGCCGGTCACTAAACTTCAGTCAAATTCAATTAAATTTTTGTAATTTATCTGTTTTGAAATTGCAAAATTCATTTTTACAAAAATGCATATGACACGTTTTCACTTAAGCTAAAGATAACTTTCAATTAAATATTTTCACATTTATCAAAGAATTGAGAAAAACACTCAAATTTTGTTTCAATAATAATAATTCTACATTTACTTGTAACTATTGTTTTCTATTACACTTTAAAAAAGGAAAAAAAATTAATGAATATCATCTTTATCCTATTTGAAGACCATATTTACATACCTCATTGTCTAAATTCCTTTCTTGAAATCTTGTTGCAATTTTCTTTACAACATTCTCAAAAAAGAACTTCTTTTTAATTTCCTGAAAATTTTGCAATGGCTAATTTCACCAAGGAAGAGAGTGACATTATTGTTAAACAGATTGGGCATAAACAATGTTGTTTTAGAAAAACAAGATTGTAGTGCTTATTTGTGGAAGAAAAAGACTTATAATAGACTTCATTTGCATCTATCAAAGGACTATTGTACATTACTATTTATGCCACATGCAATTTCATCACCTAAGTATATGCCGAAGAAAGATTTTATTCAATACATAGATGAGTATGTTGAGCATTTCAACATCAAGCCAAAATTCCAAAACTTGTGTTGAATCAACCTTTTACAATAGTGGGGAAAAGAAATGGAATGTCAAATCAAGAAAAGCGGAGAAATTGAATTGTATGCTAGTGATTTCTTGATTTTTGCTTCAGGAGAAAATAACGAAGGTTATATTCCAAAAATGGTAGGAATAGAAAATTTCAAAGGTGAAATAATCCATTCACTACAACAAATATGATATTTAGCTACGAAATTACTAGCTACAACATGAAATTCGTCACTAATTGTTCATCTTTAATGACGAAAATCATATTACGTTGCTAAAGATCTATGGCCAATACTTTAAGTGACGAAACATAAAATTTCGTAGCAAAATTTTGTCTACTAAAATTTCCCACCAAAAAATAAGTTGGCGCCATTTATTGAGTACTATTAGCTACAAATATAAAGCTATATCAATGACAGATTATTTTGTCACTAAATGATGTACCCAATTTATGACAAATCATTTTTTGTTCTAAAATAATCTACATTTGGGCACGAAATATTTTGCTCACTAAAACTATGATGATTCAATAGTGACGAATTACAATTTTTACTTAATTATTGTAAAATTTAACTACAAATTTTACATTTAATTGTGACTTTATTTTTTGACACTAATAATTCAAATAATTAGCGATGATTATATTATTGTCTCTATTTAACATACAATTTTGCGACAAATAATTTTTGTCACATAGATACCAAATTTTATTCTCATTTTATTATTTATCTATTTGAATGTAATTTACATTTTTTAAAATTTATCTATATAGATGGAGTATAATTGACATACTATTTTTACTTGATTATGTCAAATAAATTAAATAATTTTAGTAGGAGTAGTTAATGGAAGCCCATTAAGTGACGGAAATCATAGTTGTGAGAATTTATATTTTAAAACTAAAATATTATAGTAAAAGTAAAAAATAAAATTTAACTTTTAAGTATTTTGACCTTCCCTCCACTTTCAATGCATTAAATTTTCTTCACTCATTCCCCATTTTCCATCCCACGTTACATGAAACTACCCACTCACTTTTTCCTCCTTTTAAGAATTATTAATTTTCTAAAATCTATCCACTTAAATCTAAAAAACCAACTAGAATACAAATACTACATTCCATTCCTATAGGTATTTTACTGGTCTCTCTCGTTTCTTTTCCTTCTTTTATCTAGTATCCCAAATTATGTCCATCTAACATTTGTTAATGCTCTATAACTTTTTAAATATTTGTTTCAATTAGTATAAGGAACAATTATTTTCCAAAATTGTTATTCAACTTTTACTTGGTGTTGATTGAATGTAGAAATTCTTGACACCATTTCAATAAGGAGATAAGTTTTATTGATTGTGATACTTGAATGTTTAATAATTTTGAATAGAAGAAATTATTTTATATATTCTCATTTTATAATTTAGTTCACTAATTAATATTATTCTTAAAATTAAAGTTTGAATACATATTTTGTTTACATTATGATATCAAAAAGCATTTTTAGAATTAAAGTTTGAATACTAAAATTCTTTATTTTCTTTTACACAGGTACATGAATGATGAAGTTGTAAAAAAGTCACTTAATGAGTGAAAATGTAAGATAATGGAGCACTGGTATACAAGGAAACTACATAGTTTTACATTTTTGAATTTGATATTGTTTTCGTACCTCAATTAGATTTATCTATTTTTGTTTGAGTAATTTCACTTAATTTACTTGATGAGTTTGTATGCAAGTGTTATCTACAAATTATTATAATATACAGTGTTTTTATTTATGTTTTTATTTTTTTTATTTTTTATGATGTTTTTTTATTTATATAGATTGCGTACTTTAACAATTGAAATTGACATGTATTAACAACAAATAGTTTAAGTACATATTTATTTACATAGCATTAAACGTTATAAGAATTATATTAGGTCATAAAAATATCTTCTTTGGATAAAAAATAAGTAACCCTATTGCTACTTTTTTATTTAACACGAAGTGATTATATTTAGTGACAAAAATAATTACATTTTTAACTACAAATTAATTCATCAATAATACCACCTATTATCTGCCAAAAATATTTTTTCAACCACGAAAATTGTTATCTTTTAGTGACGGAATCTTATTCTTTTACTACAAATTATGCATAACGTTAAAGACAATCAAGATCGTCACTAATTAAATTAATAATTAGTGACAAATAAATTTTGTCATTATTAGACACACCTTTAGTGACAATATGATATTTTTAGCTACAAAATATTTACATTTTTATGACAAATAAGTTCGTTGCAAATACTATGCATTTGGGGACAAATATTCTTTTTAGTAGTTAATATAAGACTTTCAGTGACGACACGCTAAATTGTCTTTTATATACTATTAGAGACAAGCGTTTAGAGACGAAAGATTGACGAAATATTTTTTTTCATAAATTTATTTTTGTGACGAAATATGATTTTTTAAGTGATAAAATAATTCGTCCTTAATAATCAAATTTCTTGTAGTGTCAAGTGATTATAGATCTGGTGAAAATATAAAGTTAAAAAGGTATTGGTCATTGGATCAGAAAATTCAGGGATGGAAATAGTTTTTGATCTGTAAAGTTATGAAAGTCACAAATCAATTATTGTTAGAAATCCGGTTAGTCTTTCTATATCTTTGTGCTTTATAATTACTTTTATCGTTATTTGTTTGCATGTGAGTAGGTTAGTGTTTGTTACAAAAAAAAATTAATGGTGGTGTTCGATCAGTGTAGTTATACATCAACTATTTTACATGGTACTTGTTACTTTTTACTAGCATTTGTAATGTTGTAACTCGATTCATCAAGAGATTAGTATGGGTTTCTTGACTATCAACACCAGGTCATACCCTTATGTGAAAGGACCGGAATAAGAACATGATTTCTCATGATTTTCATTTTATTTTATTGACCACCCAGTCATATATACCCTTGTGGTATCTCTTATATAATTTTTTTTTTAATTAGCTTCACCTCTAATAATTTCCACCGATTCGTTATTTGTGTTAAATTTCACAAACACTCGCCAAGCACTATATAAAATTGTAAAAACAACCTTGATTATGAATTCAAAGTTGATTTAGTGAAATCAGTTGTTCTTTAAAAAGGGAATATTGATTGACTAGAAAGTGATTAAGGAATATTGTGTTGGATTCTTGTAAATACAAAAAATTGGGATATATATTTAAACATCCTAAAAACATAGAAAGATCTCATTATTCCATTTCTAAATCGCACAAAATTAGAAATTTTAAATTCAGGTCTGATCGGGTATTTTATATCGTGAGAAAAAGAAGAGTAGGATTTGGAGAGGTGACAAGTTGTTTAGTACAACTATAAACAACTCATATATTTTTTACTTTGAGGAACTGAATTCGAAGAAAAAGAACTAGAGTTTCTTTTTCTTATAAGTAGAATCTTGATTTTTGCTAAGTTTGTCGTATTAACAATTTTATACATCGTCATTTTCACATGTTGCACAGATAACATATTTTGCTTTTTAAGACTTTGAATCTCATAATTTTGAAGAAACTTGTCTATATCTATCAGTTAGATGACTTAATAAATGATAGTAAAAAAAATTATTTGCACTAACTATATATGAAATTTAGATTTCTCTTTTAATTTAATCTTTCGTGCATTACTCATATATATTTCTTTTTTTAGAACCCTTGATAATTCTAGTTACCAACTTTGATCTATGTTTTTGAATACTACAAGTTATATACAAATACGTTATAATTGATCTGATTTTGTACTTCTTTTTTAATATATTGTCAAAAATATGAAACTTACACTCTTAAATATGTACATTATAGTTCATGATGTTCTCCCAAAGTGCTATAACTTTTCTATAGTTAGATGATGCAAGCTTTTCACATCCACAATAAATTATATTTTTGATAAATATGGTTGTTAATTCTAAAAGTTTTAATATATTTTTTCCTAATGTTTTTGCAGATTCACGTTCTAACAAGGGAGATGGTGTATACTGCAATGTTGTTGCTAAAATATTTACCAATATCTTTAGTAGATACTATAATTGCAAAATACGCTAAATTTAAGTTTGGAAATTTAGCAGAATTAGGAATACAACAACCGGAAGAAGGCCCATTTTCTTTTAAAATATCAAAAGGTAGATCTACAGTAATTAATGTTGGTGCCATTGACAAGATTAAACTTGGACAGATTAAGGTGTGATACTATCTTTATTTTATTTCATTCTATTTTGAGAAATATTATGTGAAAAACAGATGGCTTTAATTTCTCTGAGGGTTTTGATCTTATAGTATGTATGGTTAGGCACACATCACGAGTTCAAATTTGATTACTGCCAAGAACCTAGTAGTAGTATTTAATGAACAAGAGTAAAATACATGTTCATTATCATGGGCAGTAGCTCAACTGTTATAGTTAAGAAATTAGTAGAATTTTTTAATTTTTTCTAATACAGTAAATTTGTGTAAATAGTTCATCTAATTGCATTAATCTTCTATTATGAAAAATGAAATAATACTTGTTTTATTTTTGTGAAATAACTTTTTGTGAATTGTTAATTAGGTACTTCCTGAAATATCGAAAATAAAGGAACATCCAATAGTGTTTGACAATGGAGATGAACATCAATTTGATGCAATCATTTTTGCTACTGGATACAAGAATATTGCTACCAAATTGCTAAAGGTACGTTTTATAAATCATCACTATGTTCTCTTTTCTTAATTCTAAATTTGAGTCTTGAAATTTTCCACTTGCCCATAAATATTGTGTGCAGATAAGTTTTTCTTGATAAGTTTTCCTAGTTACTAATTTCACTTACAATTAATTTTACCATATTGTCTCAAATAATGTACAATTTTTTTTCTTTTGTATGTTGGATTATAGCTCAATATTCCTTGAAGATGGCACATTGATAAATTGGAAAGGAGAGAATGGGCTTTATTGTGCTGGATTTTCAAAAAGAGCGATTGCTGGTATTTCAATGGATGTTATAGCTATTGCCGATGATATTAAGAGTGTTAGAGGAGACAAAATTTAGATTTTTATTATTAATATTATATTTGACTATGTTGTTAAATAAATTTTCTAAGCCTTGCGTAAATGCTGGATGCTTTCTGCATCGGGCTTGACTTGTTAAGTTCAACTAGAACTTAAAAACTTTGTTTCTTTTAGTATGTTTTTATTGGAATGAAGTTTCTACTATCACATAAATTTGATGAAACTTTTCTGATTGATCGTCTTTCTTTGTTGTTTTTTTTTATAATGATGGTGTGAGGTTAAGATCGCACACATTTCGACTATTATATCGAAAACTTGCTATCTCTTGCCAGCACACATATCGAATTACTATACTCATCAAATTGGGTAACTTTTATTTGAGATATTTATTGACATCATGAATGAAATCTATGATTTCCTCTGTTATTCATAGTAAAGTAGATCAAGAGAGAGAGATAGAGAGAGAAAATTAACTTCTTAAGAATTTGTTTTTCGTTCAATTCCTTGATGTTTATAAGATACATTAAATTAAAGGTACATTGAGCATTTAACATTCCATCTTGCTAAGGTCATTGCTAGGTCGATCTGTACCAAATGTCCTAATGAACCAGTACAAAAACAAGTGGATGATGATGGATACGTTACCTATCTCATAAGAAAGTCCTAGCAAGAATGTAAAAGTTGTTGCAGATGATTCAACTAGATACACACAACTTTCTTAATCCAGAACCAAATGATTAATTTAGCTTCCTCCCAAACCTCTTGTCTGTATTTTTTACCACTTAGCCTTAGGTGTATGCTTATTGTTGTGCTTTCTTTTGGGCCATCTTTTTGTGTCTGATTTTCCCAACCATTGAGAAGAAGAAGGTCCTCCCCAGGTTTCATCATATCTTTTCCTTTTTGTCCAGATAGAGTCTGGTGGTACTTTGTCTCCATTTGTTACTTGACTGTCCCCAATTCGCTGAAGATGATTTTCCTCAACCTTTGGTAGACCATTTTATTTTTGACCAAGGAAAGTCAGGTGGTACACCATCCTTCTTAGGTTGTCCCCAACTCGCTGAACGTACTCCTTCCCAACCTTCAGTAGACTATTTTCCTTTTGACTGTCCACAGCTCACTGAAGTTGATCCTTCCCAACCTTCGGTAGGCTATTTTCTTTTTGTCGTTATAGGTTCAGAAGGTATAGCTAGCTGAATTACTTTCTCGCTTTCTTTACTTTGATCCTGTTTCTATAATGTTCCTTGTCTCAGAACCATTTTGAAAGGGGGCAACACGTCCAAAGAACTAATATTTTAATATGGGTATTTTGACAAGGCCATCGATAAAAGCAGAAATGTATTCGCTAGTACGCTGGATACACTTCTATATGTGTTTCACTTCTGCTTTCCCAACAGCCCTTGCAGCATTTTGAGACTGATTAGTGAAATCCTCAACTTGTGAAGATCACGATAAGCCTAATATTGAGCACTTCAAAGATTACTTAGCAAAAAGGACATCAATAAGTGAAAGATAACTACATGGATACAACAAACTTTGGAGTCCCATGTTTTAGATAGCTGAGATGCTTCATAGGTACATGCACATAGTCCTTTGGCCCATAGCTTCTTAACTGACAATAACTGCAATGAAATGAGACCATAATGAGCCAGAAAATATGGATGTTTTCCGGGGATTGGGAGTCTGTTTAAGATGAGGCCAAATTTACTAGATTCACAGTACCTTCACTAACAACGTAACTAGCAACTCAGCCACCAACTCTTTGTTTCTCTTCCCATAGCTCGCAAACTTATGCAACGACTTTGCCACCGTATCTGGATTAGTGCCATCTAGAACATTTACAAGCAGAGAAATATTATCGAGCTACTCAAAACAAAAAATCTCACGATAAACCTAAAGCAAAGAGAAAAGTGCCAAAACTCAAACAAGGAAACAAGTGCTAAAACCAGAACTGTCAAGTTATGTATAATAAAAAAGAATTATGAGTATGTATCATGACATTTACAACCTGACAAATGAAAGATTTTCCATACACATCCAGGTTTGATGCTTAGGGTCCTATATATTTCTTTAGAAGAAGTATTTTTATCATGATCCTGATTCCTGGGAATTTTTCTTTCCTACTACAGTACTTCACAACACTCTGTACTAATACTAAAATAAGTACATCCCTTCAAAAAGGCGTTCGATAATTGAAAAAGTAAAGGTTCATAGTTACCTTCTAATAAGGCAGAAAATAGCGGCAGTATTGGAGGATTTCGTGTCTGTAAAGTTCACGACCCCAAATGAATGAATTTTTTTTTGATTATTAACTAAACAACTACATTAATAACCCTCTAGAAAGAAAATATACACATACAAAACAAATAAGCAAAAAGGGATTTAAGAAACATTGAAAGCCAAATAAGTTATGGCCTTCCTAAAAAGCATGGAGTTTTGTTTTTTATGGACAAAAAGGGTTAACTACAGAAACAAGAAGTTAACAAGAGCAACATCGTTGTTCGCTTTTACAAGAGGGTGCTTTACAAAAGGTGCACCAAACCATCTTTTTCTTTCTCCTTTTTTCATTGGATAAGGCAAAGTAAATTTCATTTAATAGTACCAAGAAGGTACTGCAAGTCTGCAAAGGTACAAAAAGTAAATTTCTCTTATGTTTGGTGTTTTATAAGTTGAAACAATACAAACTTGGTGTTGGAAGAATACTATAACAAACTGGCATTTTATTGTGCTTACAATAGCCTCCTTAGAGGATACCGTTGATACCATATGATGCACATTTCACTAGAGTCAAGTTTCTTCTAAAAAGGAAAAGAGATTATTCATAACTATAATCAGTATAAATTTTACACTGGGTAAGGTTATGTAAAGTATTAAATGACCAGTAGCTCCTACGCTAGCAGACTGATCAACATCCAAGTTGCATAATATGTAATCAAGAAACAAAGAGAAAGATGGAAACAAAGAAATAATTTGTATCTTCTTCTATGAATAAGAAAAAATTAACATGAAGTTTAAACAACTCAACCTTGCCTCCAAAGGAGGGGGGGGGGGGGATATATTATCACAATTTCGACTAAAAAAATGTACTAGTAGTCCTTGTCTAAGCAACAACTTTGATTTCCATCTTTCTTCTTTTTCTAACTTTTGGAACTAACATGTATTCAATGTACTACAGAAGTCACATGGTCTTTCTATACTTTAAAATTTCAGCCTACTATAAATAAATATTCAGAAAATTATTCTTAACAGATATAGCTGCCAGTTTCCTTCGAGTAAAGATCAAACCAATAGAGAATATAAGGAGATGACATGCTTATGAACATAGAGTAAACAATTTACTTCTGATAAGCATATCCATCTAGCTACAAAAAATTAGATACAATTAAAGTTCTACACCTTCCACTATATGTCAATTTACACAATGATACCAATTTTAGTTAGTGTTAAATTTACAGCCCACCACATCCACCCTCTTCCCCTCGAATCTTCACAAGGGTGATGCAGGAACAATCGGCAGAAACTCCTAAGTTCAATTTAAAGCATATCTTAGGCTACAATGTAGAATTGCCAGCAAAAAGAACGGAAACAACTTAAGAGTGTTTATTGTAGAAAAGTGTCCAGAATAAATAAAAGAAACATTTTGGTGATTTCGCAGCGCAAAAGAGAGATCATGCGATGATCAAATAAGCTATGGAAACTACATCGCTGACCCTTCATCAACATAACTTGACTTAATTTTTCCCTTACTCTAACTAAAGTTCTCTCATAAATAAACATTCATGGAAGATCACATAACCTAAAAGTTTCTTTGTTGAGGCTATAGATATAGATAAAATATTTTATACTTCCCCAATGTTTGGAGTAAGTAGGATTCAATGTTGTTTACATGTTTAACAAGTTAAGATGAATCTAAAGGATAATAAACATTCAAAAAGATTCTCTTTAATCTCCCACTTCCATTGTCCCGTGTGATCACACACCATATCTTTTTGGCTTCCAAAATAGAAGGCATAGTCCTAACTTGTGAATTTCCTTTTACTTGCTTTGTATTGTATATCTCATGGGGCATATGATGGGAATTTTCATTCTGAATGTACTTCAAGTGAAGCTACAGAAAGTGATATAATGGCTATCCTATTCATTTAAGTTCAAGGAACACAAAAAATTGTGTCAAGAACTATATCCCTATGGTATTGCTATGATGTATCTCGGAATCAAATAAGAGGCCTTCCAAACTATTGAACAATTGTGCATATTGCGAACATACAAGAGATTGTAGAATTTTACAACAAAGCTTTCATAAAGTTAACATATCATGCGTATTATCTTAGATTTTGAAACTCCATCCATGATTTCAACTGATATATCGCACTTGATTCTCGTACCACAATAAACACCTTTCAAAATGGGCACTTTGACAGCTGTTATTGGATGAACACCAGAAACATGCCAATATCCTAAAAACCATAGATGAAAAAAGACAAAACACACTAAATCTTAATAGTGAAAAATAAAATGCTAAATGGAGTAAATATATGCAAAGAATTCATATAGTCATAAACAAACAGACAAAACATGAGGAGACACCCTACAAATTTATAGTTTTACGAATTTTTCACATTTCCTAGTCTGTTTTCTACTTTTCTTATGATATTAAGGTATTTTTAATAATTAAAGAATAAAATTACATGTAGTATTGATATATACTGCATTCCCTCATTGCTATAACCTTATGATATACATCTTTCTTCACCACTTGGCTATCTCCCATTGAAATTTCACCTTCTTCTTTTTTCCTTTTTTTTTTTGGAACAAGTTCAATTGAACTTTCCCTTCAAACAGAATTATGATTGGAAGCATATATGAGGGAAGGGGATAAAATATCCATCATTTGGCAAATGTACAAATTAAAAAAAAACAGATGAAGTTTACCATACTTCTTTAAGATATATAATTGTTTCCTTCCTTTTCTTGACATCTCCTTTCTTCTCGTTTTATCTCCTCTAAGCTCTAACTAAGAAACCACTAACTCTTTCCACTTACTTATGCCTAATGTGATGAAAACCAGACAAATATTTTTCGTGAAAAATCTTCAGTATGTTCAATTTGCAGCAGAATTGCAGAGAGCCAAATTAGTACTTCTATGGGTTGACTATATTAAGAATAAAGATCCTTCTACACTTTATTTTTTCTTCTCAATGCAATTTATTTCTTGTTTTTCACTATTTTCTACCACATTTATCTTTTACATTGCACATAGAATTGTCAACGGTATTCCATTCTAAGTTGCACGGAAACTCTGCACTTTCAATGCTGCACCGGTGTCGGATTCTCCAAAATTACACTAATTTTGGAGAATCTAAGACACACCTATTGACATTTTTGAAGAGTGCAGGCAACATAGATTCCATTGAAAAAAGAAAAAGAAAACCAAGTCTCTTTATAAAAATAAATAGCACGTGACATTTGCCTTAATGGAAACAGTCATTCCCACATTTATTTAGCTGGTTCTACTAATGGAAATAGTCATTTATTTAAAGTGGACATCCAGAGCAGTATATCTACTTCGTCTAAAATTCGATAAACTCTTCAAAGTAACATGTAATACATTTTTGGTTAGGACGCAGATGCAGTAATCCATGAACTAAAGACAGTATCAAGGAAAAAAAGAAATTAACTCAAATATTTACTTTGAAGTGCATATAATGTCATGACCCAAACTGTCATGATTGACACCTGCACTAACCCTCTGATGGGAGAACCATTAATACTAATGAGAAAAACCAAGAACTCGACATTTAAAGATATAGTAGCAGGTTTAAATGCCGAAATAAAGTAGAGTTCCCATAAACTCCAAGAGTCTAACAACGAATATCAAAACATTGCAGAAATATTCCCCAGAAATTGAAAGTCGGTGTACCAAAACTCTAAAGTTTAGCAAGTTTAATTA